TCCCTGGCTGTCAGCTGGGACACAGCCCCAGTAAGTGATGGCATGCGTTCCCCATAGGTATGCACATTTCCCCCCTTGTACTTACAGACCATTATTTCATTTGATCTGTAATGGCTGGACCCACGCCTCCACGCCACTGCAAAAAGCACCCCCTGTAAATCAAGTCTTACACAATAATCTTCTGCCATCAATGCTTGGAAGAGCTAAATTATGTGTGGTGGGAAAACACAGCTTCCGCCTCTCTCAGCTTGGGTGGAAATAAGCTCCTTGTCTGGGTGGATGAGTGCAGGGGGGGAAAAAAAACCCTTTTTTCCCCAAGGGAAAGGATGTTTACATGATGGGGATGGCCTGCAGCTACAGCTCAAAGTGGAGCAAGCAGCACTGGTCCAGTAGAGGTGAGCTCCCAATTTCTTGTTGGTGTCATCCAATAACAGTGTAGAGTAAGCTTATGTGCTTCACATTAAAAGTAGTTGAAGGTCCTCAGAGTAAAGAAAGTGTTCTTGTGTCTGCCCTTTCCCCACCATCCCCTTCCTTTCTCTCCCTACAGGCAAGCAGTAGAAGAGTTTCGTGGCTCCACCAGGACCCAGCTTGAGGCACGGGAGCCCTGCAGAGGAGGCATGTCGGTGTGCTGTATTTGGGTGCTTATCGTTCCCGCCTTGACCCTCCGGTCAGCAGCACTGTCTTGCAGAAATGCTTTGGAAAGCAGCTGAGAAAATAAATTTAGATGGGTAAATTAGAATTTTAAGCAGACAGCAGAGCATCATCTCCATGGTTTCTGCTTGGCTCAAGCAGGCATCTACAGCCCTTGCTGGCCCCTGAACTGTGCCTGATATGGCGGGGAACAGTCCCTGTTGGCCTGAATGACACTTATAATTTTATTTTTCTTTTCTCCCCGAGCAGTACTGGAGTGTATTGCAAGCCGTGCGTTGTCCCCAGGCCCTGGGTTGAGGACAGCTGTGAAGAGGTCCTTGCTGAGAGCGAGAAACTGCTGTGGGGCGAGCAGGGAGGACATAAGGGGAAAAGAGCAAACGCAGGCTGGAAGGAGGCTGACTTGCAGCAGCCAGATTGAGATATGGCCTGGTGCTAATTTGATAAATTGTTTAAATGATATATTAGCAGCTCTGTTGAAGACAGTGTCTGGAAGGATTAGCATCATTGTCTTTTCAGCCCTGGGATACTGGTCTGGATCCAATTTTGTCATTTTGATGAGAAAACCATAGTAAAACATGATGTCAGTGATACTACAGTTAGCAGGGAAGGCGCGTGGATGTCCTTCTATGAGTGCACATCGCTTTTCTGACTCACTCGGTTAGGACTCAGACCTGTTAAATATTCCTGGCTTCATTTTGTTGTGAAGGTCAAGCCCAAGGCTGTCTCTTGAGACTATTGGAGATTTTTCGTTGAGGAAAAGCCAGGTCACAAAGATGGCCTTTAGTCAAAGGCATGAAAAAGGCATTGGAGCTGAGGCAGAGAACTTCAGTCTGGAGCTGAACTTTCCAAGAGATCAGAGGTGTGTGGCTCTGAGGCTGCTTTTGGATCCGGCTGGAGAGGGTGGACCACCATGAGTTTGTTTAAAGTTGATCATAAGTGTTTTTACCTGAAGCAGAGAAACTTGGAACATTGATGCTGGTCAAAATACCCTCCAAACCAAAAAATCCTGTATCACTATGTCAATATTGTTTCCATTTTTTTGGAGCTTCAAGAAAGAGCTATTTTTAGCTGCTTTTTGGTTTGTTTAGGTTTGTGGTTTTTTTCCAAAACCAACTGTAACTAAGACCAATAACAGTTTGCATTTGGTAACATCCCATTCTCTTGGACATGAACTATCTCAATAATAGTTTTGGTAAGGTGACTATTAAAGGCTTTTCAGAAAAGCTTTGGGAGTTTTGTTCATTTTTGAACAAAGCTTGCCAACTATAAAAGCTGTGGCCTCTCTGAGCTGCCAGGGCATAGCTGAGCTTGCTGGCAGCCCTGTTAACGCTGTGCTGTCTTGTGCTTTAGCAAAGAGATGGGTTGCCCTGTCCAGTTTGTCTTTGCTTAACTCTGGACACTTGGCACGTTGAAGGTGTGGTTGTGGCTCTGATTAATGTGCCAGGCTGAGAGATGCAGACGAGTTTTCCGTAGAGAAAGTCATGACTCGGGGTGCCACTGATGCTAATGGCAGGCTGAGACGTTCATGGGAGGGAAATCCTCTGGTCTCTGATGGCAGTCGTGTTAGTGCAGCAGGAGCCATCCACGCTGGGCTGTCTTTCACACCGGGATTGTGGAGCACGGTATCAAAGCTAGGTGTGGGCAGAGGGGGCGGCTGTGAGCCACCACGAGTTATGCTATGCCATTGCTAACCTCCCTGGCTTTCACAAGCTGCCTTTTATCCTCCTTCTGAGGTGATACCTCTGATTTATTGAAGGGTCTGACAGAAACAAACGCTTCTGTTTTGATGAGGCTGTTCTGTGCGTTGATACGACCTGCCAGCTGGCTTTTTCCAAAACACATTATGTATTTTAGCAGCATTAGCAGATTATCAGGGCTGAATAAATCCGCATGTCTGAGTCGGATGAATTTTCTAGGCTCTCCATCCATAAGAGTTTCTGTGTGCCTGCCAAAAGATGGGAAGCTCAACAAGAGGGTCGGGCGCTGGCATGCGAGTGTGACAGCCTGATAGTGGCTTCCGACTGTACTGCCAGCCCTGTCGGGATGCAGGGAGCCCAGGCTGTCAGAGAGCAGATGTGTCTGTTCTGGCTTGGGGGAGAAGATAATGCTGTATGGCGAGGGCGTATCTTATAGAAAAAATGGCAGAATAATTAATGTTTGAAAGAAGAAAAAAAAATACGTTGCTTTGGAAGCAGAGGATCTGTTTGGAAGCAGAGGATTGCCATTGGGGGGGTGTCAGACCTGATCTGTGCTTAGTATCTTCACTACTGTATGGTTTTTGGGTAGGAACATGACCTGCTCTTACTGTGCGGTTTTGGCATTGGCATAATTAGCTAAGGTGTGTATTAAGTCAATAGGGCTAGTTATTTTCTTTCCTGTTTAGAAACAGCTTTCTCAAAATAAGTAATATCTATGGGCACGTAACTGTGTGGTCCTATTGTTTGTGTGGCCCAGAATAGCACAGGAAGAGTCACGCTGATGGAGGGAGCCATCAGGTTTTTAAGGTGTTTACATGAGGTCGGGATCGTGTAGCTTGCTAAAGGAAATGCGGCTCACTATCTGTAATTAAAACTCAATAAAAACAAAATTCAGGGAGCTTAACGGCAATGGTAAGTTCCTATAAATGACATTAAGATGAATTATACCTATATTGAGTTCAACTTGCAGCTAAAGAAGTGTATTAGAATGGCATTAAATCATTGCATTAATATTAAGAGGCTAAATCGGTATAATGCAAATAAATCAAAAAGGGGACTGCTGTTTGACTGTGAGTGATAGGTAAAGAATTTTACTGTACCTGTTCAAATCTGTAACTTGCCAAGTACCCAGTGCTGAAACTGAATTTTTACTCCTGGATGCAGTGTAGGACCAGAAAACTTTCTTGTGATACTTTTCCTGCTGGCAAATATTTTCCTCCTTCCTATAGCAAAGAGAAAAACATCAGCAAAGGTTTTTCCATAAGCAGCACTCTGAATCCCTAGGGAGAGAAATTACAGAAGACTTAACTCGAGCTGCGTGCTGCAGCGTAGCCTCCCAGGATTTGAGGTAGGGCCCAGACTTCAGAGCTGTGTTCTCTAGTCCATTCAGGTGCAGTTAATTTTAGGCTGGGAAAACCCTTTCTCCTTTGCATAAGCAATTTTCAGAAATTTTAGGGATTCAGAATTAGTAATTCTGTAACATCCCTACCCCAGAATACACAAAGCTGGAGATTTCTGTGTTTGACTATCACTGTCTTCTGTAGGAGAATATGACTGTTGATAGCTGTTTATGTAAAATTTAATATTAAGAAAATTAAATAACTGCAAGTCATTCAAGATAAAGCTGCGAATTTAATTTTAAACTTATTTTTTAAGCTTTCTTGCTTGAACCTAGACTTCAGCAGAGATAGGCTAAAAAAGGTTTAAATCATATGCTGCTTTACCTCAAGTACGAACCTTTAGAGCCACCCTCCTACTTCTCCATCTTTCTTTTCTCAGCACAAGTGTCTACGTAGGAGCTTCTCGTGCAAAGGCAGAGGCAGCTGCTCCTCAGTGAAATGCACTCTCATAGCAGTGATCAAAACACAGCTTCATACATTCCTGACTTATGCTCTCCTAGAGTCTACTCAGCACTCTGAAAGCTTTTAAGTGTACAAAAGGTGTGATTTATTCTTATTTCTCCATGGAGGGAAGAAATCTGTGCTAGTGGTGAGCCTACCAGTGAGATGAGACCCTTTCCCATGCAGCACACGAGCACTGTGAATTCATGTAGGATGTGTAGGTAAAAGCAGAGGGTTTTTTTTCCCTGTCCTAAATGCCTCTATTTTGAGTTTTGCTGGCAGAGCTGTTCACTACATCCTGGCAAGCCCTGTGTGGGGACAAGCTGCAGAGCGATGAGTGCCTTCCTGGCTCGGCTTGTCCCTTTGTCCTGTCCCGGTATTGCTCAGAACTGCCAGCTGAAAGAGCACAGGACTGAAGCCCCATTAGTGCAGATCTTGCTTCTTTACAGAAGGCAGGTATAAGCTGTGCTTGGATGGCTTAAATTCCTTCATGGGTTCACAAGTAACCTTGTGCAGTTAGTTGACGCCTTGAAATATGTTTTCATTATATTTGTTCTGACATCTTCTAGGCAGGTCCAAAAGTTGAGAGTTTGTTGACTTGCTTGTAGTTATTGGAGAGACATCTTCAGTGCTAGGAGAACTTGATATGAAAACTGTTTGGTTTGGTCTCATTAGATCTGAAACAGAAAATACTGATGTCTTGTCTTTCCCCCCCCCCGTCCCTCCTGTCTACATAGCTGTCCCAGCTTCAGTCCCCCTGTGGCAGTGCCAGTGCTGCTGTCTCTAACCATTGGCATCTTATCTCCAACAGGTTGGTGGGACAAAGACAGGAGTTGTGCGCTATGTGGGAGAGACGGATTTTGCCAAAGGAGAGTGGTGTGGTGTGGAGCTGGATGAACCCCTGGGGAAGAACGATGGGGCAGTTGCTGGTACAAGGTACTGTGCACTCTCAAACCTAGCCTGGGACATGTAGGGTCCCACACACCACCTGGGGGCCACACGACCTGGGAAGAGGACTCGGGGCTCTGTGCAGCTGTGTTTGGTTGGATATTGTGGGTTGGGAGGAAGACTCCACTTTTGAGTCTTTTAGGCTTTGGGATGTCTTTGCAGGGAGATCAATAGAAAGCTCATCACTGGAGTGTTTTAAAGCAGGATCAGACAATGTCTGTGAAGAAGTAACCTGAGTGGCTTCAGGAAACAGGAGAGAGTAGGGAGAGAAGATAACTTACAGTGGGATTTAGTTTTTGCTAGAAATTGATTCTGTGATTGTATTAGCTCTGCTTTCTACCACCTATTCCCTTCATAAACTTGCTTCTTGCACTCTATACATAATTCACCCTGTCAGAACTATAGAAGATAAAGATTTTACTCTCTTTTTTTTTCCCTCAACTTAATGTTATTTGTTCTCTTCTTTCTGGGGACAAATTTCCAGAGATCTGAAAAAACAGTTGGTGGTCTTTGTCTGTCCTTGTCCTAATTCTGTAGTATGACAGCTATCTGCTGATTGATCTTACCACCTCTGACTCCATAGGCACCTCTACTATTTTCATTTCAAAAAAAGCCCTTGTTAGTGTCTATAAAACTAGGCAGAGACATCTCGCAGGCTTGCTGGGAAGCTGTTTCTGTTCACGTGGACATTAGGTGAGGGAATGACCCCCAGCCTCAGATCTTGAGCTTGGGGATGTTCAAATATGAGTTATACAGCAGCACTTTGACCCTGCTTCAAATAAAGGTGGAACTGATTCCTTGTCCTTCACAAGTTCCTGTGGTGGGAAATAACTGTTGATTTCTTGGAGCTTCCTGAGGGAATCTTGCATTAGAGCTGAGATTTAGCTTTGAAACTACGGAGCTGAGAGTTCTTCCCTTGTTAGATCTCACGTTCTTTAGTAAAGGCTTCTTGTGTTGGGTCAGCCTTGTTTTGTCCAGCAGCCATGTGTTTTCATTTAAAATAAGAGAAACACTGCCTTGTTCAATGACAGCGCAAGAAAGCAGAAAATGATTGGCAGCAGATGGCTGAGTCCCAGCCTTTCTCAAAAGAACCAGGATCGTAGAGAATAAGTCAAGATCAAGAGAATAAGTCCCTGCTTTCTTTATCATACAGTACAAATTATCTCTAATCTTTAATGTTCAGGGTGCTCAGAAATTGTTTGTTGTCTCTGTGCGTGTGGAAGGTGAGTCTAAGGGTGCTCTCTCTGCCTCCTTGTCCTCACACTTCTGCTGCTATGTTTTGTAAATCCAACTTTTGGAAGTCCCTTATCTTCTGAAACTGCTACATCTTGGCAGAGGTTGTTACGGTATGTGCCCTGTCTGCAAGGCTTCTCTTTTGTTTCACCCTTTATCAAGAATGGGAAAAATTGAGCTCCACAGCAGGGATTCAGGAGCAGGAGTGAATTAAGAGGTTTGGATTAAACAGGGGAGATTGAGGGATGTCTGTAAGGCATCCCTGCCCCTTGCGTCCAGGCTGATTTTTGCAGATCTTCTAGCAACAATTGATGCCAGCAGATACAGCAGTGGTAGATGTGGACTCTCCAGCTGAAGGGTTCTCTGCCCCAGAAGGATCTGGCTGCAGGTTTGCAGCATTGTCCCTGCTCGTCCTTTGAGCCTTCATCTAACTGTTTGATTTTCTTACAGCATGTGCAGATTTCAACAGCGGGGTTTGAGGGGAGAAGCCGATATAGTAAAATTGACTCCCTTGGTGCATGCAGGCGCCTCTCAGACAGTCTTCCCCATATTTGCCACTGCCACAGGGGGTTCCTGATACTGCCCAGAGCTTGTCCTGCCAGAGTCAGTCTGGGCAGAGACCAGCCAGGACTTTGGAGCCTCTCTGCTTTGGTGGTTGTTGCCATCTAGTGAGCATCCTTGGCCTGGCTGTCCGAGACCAGCACTCGCTGCTGCAGTAGCCGTCTGCTGCAGCAGGAGAGCCTGCTCCAAAGAAGCAACTCAAGACAGTGGAGGCTGGTGGAAGCAGGAGAGCAAAAGTGGGCAAATGAGTGAGCAAAGGACTCTGTCACCATCTTTGCTGCCCTGGGTTCTCCAGTTGAGTCGGTGGTGAATCACCTGAAATTTGAGGAGGGTTGCTCTGATTCTCCTGCAGGTTCAGGAAGGGCATCCAGGTCTGGATGTGTGTCAAGGGAAGGATGAAGGGCCAGGGTTTCCTGAGCAGCTTGTGGCTCTCTGGTGGAGGCTGCCTGCAGGCTGTCGTTTCAGTAGCAGTGCCCAGGAGGAGAAGGATATCGCTGTGGGTGAGCCCCTCTCTGTACATCTCATGGATGCTGCTGAGACACTGGGGTTTGCTGCGTCTGCTTTCCTGTCTGCACAGGAGGCTAGAGAGCTGCTGGTGTGGTTTTTTTGGTTCCTTATCCACAAAGCCAAGCAAGTTCCCCTTACTGATCTCTAGTATATTAACCTTTACATGCTTGTTTTACTCTTCTTCCTTCTCTGCCTCTGTTCCTATGGGAGTCTTTGCCCACTAAACTGCTCATGCCTTTGCTTCCGCATAGTCTGAAACATGTCAGCTACAGGCCTTGGACACTGAAGATTATTTTTTTTAATCTATTTCAAAATTTCCTGTTCTGTTTCCCACCTGCAGTTTGCATTGCCATCACAATGCCCCTTTCCTTCCCTGTTTCTTTTCTGTAATGTGGTTGTAGAGCACTTGGCAATCAGTGAGAGCAGCTCTTGGTTTTCAAGCAGGCCGGGTTTTGGTTTGTTTTTTGGGTTTTTTTGCTGCCAAGTGTTCTGGACCCAATTCCTGCTTCTGAACTATAAAAGTTAATTACAACCACTTCCAGTCTGGTGGACTAAAAGAAAATGAGCAGACACAAACTGATGCAACTTTGGACTTGCTAAGGGCTGTCAGGGGACTTTTGAGGGACTTAGCCTTTGGTGGCGTTGTACAGCCACAAGTACCAGTCTGTGCTTGGACCTGTGGAAGGGGCTGTGCTGTGCTGTTGGTCCTCCTGTGCCTACTTCTGTTTTAAGATACGATCTTGAGCAGGGTTTTGGCTGGTTTGCAAGAGGCCAGACAGAGTTTCTTCCTTGGGTCTCTGTTCTGCAGCAAGGTCAGCCTGCAGTATAGCTGGTTTTCCAGACCCAAGAGCCTGTTTTGGCAGCAAGCAGAAAGGGGCTAAATGATTTTGGGTTTTAGAGGGTAGTTTTGGTTGGCTTTTTGTTTTGGGGTTTGGTTTTTTTTTTAAGGTTGTTACAGAAAAAATCATAGTTGAGCAGATGTTTGAAGATGAATCACTCTCATCTGGCTGGAGATCAGGCTGTTCTCTGGCCTCCCAAGCACACAGGTCTGCCTGTGACACAGCCACGTGGCTGCCAGCGCTTAAAAATAAAAGGGGATTGGGGAAGCAGCTGCTCACATCTGGAGAGAGAGGACTTGTGCTAGTAAGGCTGGATTTGTGTCATTTATTCATTAGGACCTGGTTTTTATGTTAACGTAAGACAGATTATTATATGGCCCAGTATTTTCCCCTAACCTTGCTAGGAAGCCTTTGAGAAAGAATTCTTAACGGAGACAGTTGTCTGTGTTGACTGCTTCTTTGAAACAAGGGGATGTGACCCCTGGAGATGATCTGGTTTACTTGCTGCAGTGCAGCTGGCCAGCAACAGATAAACCCTGGCTTGAGCCGGTTGGCCCAAGCTCTGAAGGGGTTTCCAAGGTTTGACACTGTGGGTTTTGGCTCATTTGTATTCTGAAAGAGGGCTCCAGAGAGATATAATCATTGGGCTCACTGCAATTGTGGAAAAGAGCTTGCACCATAATTATCTGATCCTCCCTTTTTTATGCTTGCTTCTTTCTAAGTTTGTTTGTGTGGGAGCTGGTTTCTCTGCCGCCCTGAGGAGATGGCACACACTGGAGCTTGCTGTAGTGGTATTTTTATCTTCAAAGTTAGGAGCTGCCGGTTTCCCCTTCTGTTTTGGGAGGAACATTTTTACAGAGCAGTGCGATTCAGATATTTTTATTCAACACACTTTGCTATATGACTTTCTTGCAAAGCAGGGTAGAGAACACACGCGGGTTTGGGGAAGGTTGGTTTGTTGCGGTAAGGAGGGAGCGCGTGTGCTCCCGCCGTGCTTATGTACTGGGAGTTTTGTGTTATCCAGGCTACCAGATGGGTCTTCCCTGGCATCTCCTCAAAGTGTGCAGAAACTAGTGCGTGGCAATTATTTTGCGTTTCCCTGCTTAAACACCGCAAGTGAAAACATGGAGATTGCCACCAGCCTTAAGTGGCAGGAAAGGAGAATAATCAAACTGCTTGCATGCAGGAAACAACATCGCAGCAAAGCACCGAGAGATGAGCTGAGGGCTGGGGTTGTGTATTGCTTAGCAATGCTATTCTGTGAGGCTTGGGCGAGATGGATGCTCTGCCACTTCTGACTTGGTGCATCTCCTGTACTACAGGTATTTTCAGTGCCCTCCCAAGTTTGGCCTCTTTGCTCCCATCCACAAGGTGATCCGGATCGGGTTCCCCTCAACCAGCCCTGCCAAGGCAAAGAAGAGCAAACGAATGGCCATGGGAGTGTCTGCCTTAACCCACAGCCCCAGCAGCTCCTCCATCAGCTCCGTCAGCTCGGTGGCATCGTCTGTTGGAGGCAGGCCCAGCCGCAGTGGGCTGGTAAGTGGCTCTTTCCAGAGACTGTGCAGCCTCGTTCCACTTCTGTGGCCCAGCTCTACGAAGTGGGAGGGTTGGGGTTTTGTTTCAGCAGCTGCCCCGGTTCAGCTGCTCCTTCACCATTGGTGAGACGAGGGGATCGTGGGATACTGTTACCCACCTTACAAATAGGACTCCCTCCACGGACACGAGGCATAACAGACGCTGAGCAATTGTGACTGTTAAAGAGCCCAAAGCACTGTTTGCAACGGCATGAATCTCTGCTCCGCTGTCAAGAGCAGGTTTTGTACAGGGTCTCTGCAAAAAATGCTATTGCTTCTTGTCCCTTGTGGTTGCGTAGCAGTGTGCTGCTGTGTTGAACAGCTATGCGAAAGCTCCTGCAATGACTGCATTTTGCTGTGGAGGGGTGACACTGTCCTGGATCACATGCCTTGCGCTTTGGCAGGTTCTCAGGAAGGCGGACACCAGAGCAGGCAGCAGTTATTGTTAAAAGCTCTAACTCTGCCATAGTGTGTGCTGCATAGCACCTGCAGTTATCTTGGCTGGGGACGAGGGTGCAGTATCCATTACTGGGAGTGGATCCAACTAGCCCATACTGGTCTCCAGTTGAGATCAGTCCTCCCAGCTGAGCTCGCTGTTTGGAACTGCACCAGTGCAGGTCATCAATAAAACGTATTTAAGGTGGCAGATGATACAATACGTGATAATCTTTCCTGACCCAATTCCTACCCCACATCTTGTTCTTTGGGAAATGGTCCTTTCACTGCAGTCTAGCAGAGCTATTTAACATGTAAGCAGTGTCCAGATGTTTTGCAGGCTTATTAACCCCACCTGTAGGACCAGGAGGGTCCAGAGCTGGAACTGCAGCTCTGTGCAGCCTAATAAATGATCAGTAAGTGAGCTGCATTCCAGATTTAACAGGGGAATTTGAGCTATTCTAGACTGGGAAGGACACAGCTTTACCCCTGTCTCTTTTAAATTCTCTTTCTCAGCTGACAGAGACCTCTTCTCGATATGCCCGGAAAATCTCCGGTACCACAGCTCTCCAGGAGGCACTGAAGGAGAAGCAGCAGCACATTGAACAGCTACTGGCAGAGCGTGACCTGGAGCGGGCTGAGGTTGCCAAAGCCACCAGCCACATCTGTGAGGTGGAGAAAGAGATTGCCATCATGAAGGCCCAGCACGAGCAGGTAGGAGGTGACATGGCTTTATTGCTAGCAGACAAATATCTGGCATCCTCTGAAAGTTTCGGATCATGATAACATCACCTATGTGTAGCTTCCTGATGTGAAACCTGGGCTCTGAATTTCTGCCTTTCATGTGGAGACAACTTCCTGCACGGTGCGTTAAGCTGAGGTTCTTTCTCCACTCCTGCCAGTGGAACATGTGCTCCCTCTGACCCAAGCCAGGAGCAGAAAAAGGGCAGTGTCAGAAAAAGGACAGTGGATAGTTTGTGTCTGGTGGATCAATACACTCAAATGCTGAAATGCAAGTGGAGGCCAAACTTGTTCTCCTTAGCCACCCAATCTGGCTGTGACTGCATTGTGGTGGTTTTTTGGTGCTATCGGACACTGCTGAGAACATCAGCTCAGTTCATATGTCACTGCTTTCCTGCCAGAGGGGATGTTTTTATCACATTAATAAACTCAAGAGATCTGTAAGGAAAACAGACTGGTCATATTAGCTTTTTTGCACAAGCATTCATACAAATGATACTTTACGCATTTGAATGCTTCAAGAGAAGAGTTGTGTTTGTGCTGTTTGTCAGTATGGGGCTCTTCCATGATTGCAGTTGCCCTGAATTCCTTGCTCGTGTTTATAAACCCCAGTCACCTACTAGGGAGCATTGATAGCACTGTGTATCTTGGTGTGGTGGGCCACACCCACCTTTCAGAAATGCAGGAGAAATCTGCAAATCAACTGCAAGCTGACATCTTCCTTGTGTATAGTATTTTCCAGTAATTACCAGTAACAAATGAATTCATGCAAGTCTGAAATGACTTCTTGCTTCATGACCAGGGCTGAATTGCACCTGGTAACCTCAGACCAGATTTTCAACCTGTTCAGGCTTCAAGTGCTTAACGCTTAATCAGAGCTGGATTCTTCAAAGGGTTCAAGTCAGAGAGGCACTGAAGCATGGATCAAATTTCCAAGCTGCTGGAGATCTAGCACGTTTTTTCTTTTTGATACCTACATACTGGCCTTTTTGGGAAATCTACCTTGTTACCATAGCAGCCTCTGAAAGAGGTCATCAAAACCTTCTGTTCCCTTGTTCTGATCCTTTTTTTAAACAACTCTATACTTCAAACATCGTTAACGTTTGTGGTTCGGGCTCTTTTTTTGCTGCAGTACGTCACGGAGGCAGAAGGAAACCTCCAGCGAGCACGAGCCCTGGTGGATGGGATGCAGAAGGAGAAGATTGAGCTGTTGAACCAGCTGGAAGAGGAGAAGAGGTAAAGCAGGAGTGGATGGGTGTGGAGGAGGTGAAGTCATGGGGAAGATGAGGCTTTTTTCCAAGAACATCGCTCATTGGATCTAAGGAGGAAACAGTGACCGGGAAAGTCGTCTTTGGATATCTTCCAGTGCTTCAGATATGCTGTGTTCCCCTCTCCTGGCCACTGTGGGTCTGCCTGCATGTAGGGAAGGGGTGTGCTGCTTCAGGTTACAGGAAGTTTAGAACAATTTTGCTGCAGTTGCACATCTAATGTGACTCTTGTCTAGGATTGGGTATCCAGTACAATGGCTGCCCCCATTTGCTGACAAACTGCTGCTGATGACAACTGAACGGTGAAGTATTTCCAATAAATCTTGTATGTTCCTATGTCTTATGGCTCTTAGAGGAGACTCGATGCTGTATTATTCGGTGGAGTTGCAGTGAGCTAATTCCTGTGATGTGAGTAGTGTCAGGTTTTTTTGCATAAGCTCAGCTGAACCTGCCCCCCTGTTGCAATGCAATTGAAGGGCAGAAGACAAAGAGCCAGCCAGGACAGCTCAAACCTGCGACAGGAGCAGCGCTTGTTTAGCTGCCAGGAGTTTCATGATTGTACCCACTCTCCTGCCAAATGCATGTAGCATTCAAGAAAAATGGAGACTAACAGTTTCCATTCCTGAACAGGGACTCTTAAGTGCTGGCACTCTTGTGATGACCCTAATAAATATTTGTCAGGCTGCTCCGTGTCCAAGAGTATTTGACCATGACACATGTTGCACTGACAATACAATGGTGGACAACAGTTGATCTACCGCTGCCCGTAGAAGGCCAAATAGTCTTGGTTTCCTGCTGGGCAGTGAAATTATTGAGGGTTTCTATCCATCTTCCCTGTTGTTTGGTTCCCAATGCGAAGCAAGGAGAAGCAGCGTTATTAGCCTGAAGGAACAAAAGGGCTCCAGTAATATCAGCACCTCTGGGATTTGATACCCCGGCCAAACTGAGCCATGTTGCTGTGTAAACTGGAATTACTCGGTAAAGGTGGGATTAGCTCATGGCAAGGGTGTGGACAGTGGCAAAGCCTTGCCTTCAGATATTCTTGGCTAAGGGTACAGTATAAAACTGATACTGGATAATAAACAGAACTGTGCAGGTTGGACCATCCCAGACCCCTAACCCTTCTGTACAACCTGGCTTTGCTAAAGACCATTGCTTTCCCCTGTGTTTGTGATGTGATGACCTTAAGGACATTCCTTCTGAGAAGGGAAATCAAACTGGAGTAGTGCCTTACTGTAGTGTGATTCATCATCTCCCCAGATCCCAGAGGCCCCATCCGTGTATATACGATGATGCATACATTTCCTCTCTGGATGAGAGTGAAGATCTGCTTGTCATTCTTGGAGTCCAATTTGCTCCATATATATAATTAAGCTCTTCAGTGGGAATAGAAAGACATTTCTGTGTATTAAGTAACTGAAAACTGTTGATTTCAATTGAATGATGCCCCTCCTGAGGACGAATTGTTCTGTTGTGCACAAGTCCCCCTGCTCTCCTGGTAGGCAGCTCACTTTCCCAGCTCCAGGAGGCCCTTTAACGTAAGACAGCTGAGTTGTTTCCTAAATATGAACAGATGCCTCCTCTAATTAGAGGAGGTTTAGACAAGGAAGCTTGTTTATGAATTTAGATATGTACATCACAGCTATTTTTGTCTGTAACGGAATCAGAGTCCTTACATCTGGCTACCAGCTCAACATCCTCATTATTGCCTTTTTTTTTTGTTTGTTTAAATCAGTAAAGAGAACAAAGAGGACTGGGCTTAGCAGAAGATTGAATTATTTTGTATCATTACTGGATTTCTTTCTTCAGACTTTACAAGAGAGTCCTAGGCACTTCTGCGTTTGTGCATGTGATTTTTTTTTATGTGCATTTATGCATGACTGGCCTACACAATCTCTGGTGAAGGCTCTTCTGCCAGTGTAGCTCACCATTTCCACGTTGCGGAAATGTAAAGCATTGCCCAGCCTTTGCCAAGAAGGCAGAGGCTCTGATTCACGTGGAATATATTGTATGGACCCTGTGCATTTGGTGCAGGAATTGCCTAGTGCTTGACTGCAGGATAACGGAGGCTAAGAAAACCAGTGAGACCTGGTTGTGGCTTTCATGTTCCCAGGATTCCAGTGTCAGAGAACAGCAGCTGTGCTTGCTGAGAGGTGGTGCAGCAGAAACAGCATGTCTGTGAGCGTATACCTTGCGTGAAGGCAAATGTGTGCTATGTGGAAAGCTTGCTTATTAACTGTGTTGCTCCATGTGTCTTGATGTTTATCTTCTGCTGAGCTGTTTGCATACAAAGCTTGTTTGTATCCTGCTCCTCTCAGACTTCAGATGTGCAGGGGAGGCCCACGTGCAATGGCTGCTTAGAAATGGGATGCTGATCTGGGTGTTACTGATTGCTATTTGTGTCTTTTCCCCTTCCCAGGAAAGTGGAGGACTTGCAGTTCCGTGTGGAGGAAGAATCCATCACAAAGGGGGATCTGGAGGTAATTCCTAACAGCCTTAGCAAAATGCGGGGTTAAAACCTGAAACTGCATGTGGGGCCTCACCCAAGTAATTTCTGCCACCTTTTGCTCAATTTGAAACAATACGTTATCTTTATTGATGGCTTTGGACCGGCTGCAAACACCATGGTATAAACTGTGAAGATTGTTCTTTGGTTTGTTGCCCAATGACTAATAATGCTAGGAACTGCCTAGAATTAATCACATGCAGCCAGCCTGGCTTTAAATGTTGCCATGAGTTGCCAAGCCATGTTAAAATCTGACTGTATCTGAATGCATTTCAACATATGTTTTTCCACTGTAGAAATGACTTGACTGCTCAGTCACTGTCCCTGCAGTGTCCTGTTATTAGGAGCTAATTGGCACGCACAATCTCCCAGTTGGATGCTATTCTATTCCAGCCCAAATGCTGGAATATCGTTTGACCTGCAGTACCCCCATGTGGAGTCCTCTGCCCACGAAAGTGGGGTTTGGCACTGCGATACCCTTTAATTTGGAAGGGCTGTTGCAGTGAATATTGTGCAAACTGGAAGTGGTGTTGGGAGCTTGCCCTTGAGTGGGAGGCTTTTCTGTGGGGGGAAAAAGGGAAAAGAAAGTATTTCTGTGAAAGCAAGGCTCTGCTCTAAACGTGTAAATTGGGACTTTCCCTTATCTTTAGCTAGAGTGCTAGGTTGGTAATTGTCAGAAATGTCAAGAAACATGCTCCTGTGCTTCACTGTTGGTCATATCAATAAAAGCCCAGGAAAATGGGAGAACTAGGCAATGGGAGTATGCTGCTATGGCTTTGACCCTCTTGGCATAAACCTCTCCTCTTTATCTGGAAGTGGAAGCAGAGTAATGTGTTTGACAGGGTATAAATCAGCAACACACTCATAACAGACCTTTGCTAAAGGGCAGCAAGTGCAGTTTCTGCCTAGCGTGTGGGTGCAAAATTGTGTTTCTGTTGATTCCTGAGCTTAGATGATAGATTTCCCCAGTGCTTTAGAGAAGTGCGATTGATCCATCGCTCCATTTCAGAGCAGTGAATTGTCCCTGTGTAAGCTTTAAGTGTTTAAGCCTGCCTGTGGAGTAATGGCAATGGGACCAGGCTTAGCTAGCAGGTATATTCAGATGTACTTTAAAAAAAAAAAAAAGCCACCACATTTTAGCAAGCTGGTAAGCTACTGTGACATAAGTGCTCCTATAACTGCAGGTCCCAAACTGAGGATGGATCTGATTTTCATTTGGGCTGGGAAGGAGTTGCTTTGCAATGGGGATGTGGCCAAGCTTCTTGCAGGCTGCCAGGGTCCTGTCCCCACTTCCACGTTGTCTGTACAGAACAAATAACTTCTTAGGGAAGAGTCACGGAGCAGCTTGGTTTCCTGCAATCCACAGAAATGGGATGTTCCCCTGTGGGTCCAACAGCAGGGACAGCACAGACACTGTCAGAGGGCTTTGCTGTGGTCAGTTTTTACATAGTCCTGTCTAATTTGGATGCTCAGGCTGAACGATTGACCCACTGGAGTTAATTCTCACCTCCCTGCTTTGTTGTGGAGACAGTTAGGATTTCCAGAAGCAAGTAATTCGCTTACAGAAAAAAATCTCTTGTTGGAAATCAGGGGGATAAGTGCTCCTTCATGTTGCAGTATGTTTCCTGGGAAGTGGTTGTCCTTGATATTCTTCATGTAAAATCACAACGAAGTCAACCGGTGGCTGCTAGCACAGCCCTTGGCATCCCTGGCTAGAGCTCAACCAACCACCCAAATACCAAAAGCAAAACCCAGTGGCAGTTGTCGCCCCTCCTCTGGTCTTGTCCGCTTATGCCACCAGCCGTCTTCTGAGTACTTGGAGGAGAATGTTTATCTTGCACTTACCAGCCAGTAAAAGACATGATGGTAAGAAGAGATTATCTCCTCCAGGGTCTCTGGATCTAGGGTTTCTGCTGAAGGCTGGGATAAATCCTGTGGTATTTCATAGAATCATAGAATCGTTTAGGTTGGAAAACCCCTTTAAGACCAAGTCTAACCGTTAACCTACCCCTGCCATCCCACCACTAAACCATGTCCCTAAGCACCTCATCTATCCTTCTCTTACATACCTCCAGGGGTGGGGACTTGACCACTTCCCTGGGCAGCCCTTTCCAGTGCCTGACAACCCTTTTGGTGAAGAAGTTTTTCCTAATGTCTAGCCTAAACCTGTCCTGGCACAACTTCAAACCATTCCCCTTCATCGTATCCCCCGTTACCAGGGAGAAGAGCCCAACCCCCCACCTCGCTACAGCTTCCTTTCAGGTAGTTGTAGAGGGCGATCAGGGCTCCCCTCAGCCTCCTCTTCTCCAGACTAAACAACCCCAGTTCCCTCAGCCGCTCCTCGTATGCCTTGTGCTCTAGACCCCTCCCCAGCTTTGTGGCTCTCCTCTGGACATGTTCCAGCAAGGCAACATCTTTCTTGTAGTGAGGGGCCCAAAACTGAACACAGTATTTGAGGTGTGGCCTCACCAGCACCGAGTACAGGGGCACAATCACTTCCCTACTCCTGCTGGTCACACTATTTCTGATACAGGCAAGGATGCCATTGGCTGGCTTTGCCCCCACTATTTCTGATACAGGCAAGGATGCCATTGGCTGTCTTGGCCACCTGGGCATGCTGCTGGCTCATATTCGGCCGGCTGTCAACCAGTACTCCCAAGTCTTTTTTCACCAGGCAGCTTTCCAGCCACAATATTATTTCTCATAATATCATGTAGTTTTGAACAAAGCTGGGACTCTTGGGTGTTGAGTGTGGCGGACAGCATCCCTAGAAGCTCTTTGACCAAAGAAATCAATGTGTCTGAAGCTTGGAGGTACGGATCCAGTTTCTGGACCTGTGATAAAGAAGGAGGAGCTGTGGATTTAGCCTTGAAACATAGTTGTGAATTCATTTTTCATACTGGTCGGCAGTGCTGATACTATAGTGCTTTGGAAGGTGAAAAGCAGTTGCAGGAAAACAAAACCTTTTAATAAAGGCTTTTGATGATGTAAGACTGTGTTGTTATAGGAAATGCTAACCTCTTCAAGGAACTATCTCATGCTTATCTCCTGGGAACCTACCTCATACCTTGAACATCCGTGGGAAGTCAATTTGTAATTTGCGAATAGTAATTTAAGGCTAATAGCAAGAAATCTGTCTAAAATTCAGATCTGAACTTCCTCAAGTGCAGGAAAACTGGATTGGAGGCTCTGAGTCATACTGGCAAGGCAAACCAATATGCATTAAATAAGAAATAACAGAGGACTTGATGCGAATCTTAAGTGAAGGTTTATTCAAGGACTGTGAAACAGTTGATCTAAGTTTCTTCCCTGATTATTGTTCTCCTATGTTTTCATGTGTTTTTCCAGACTTGGAAAATAGCAGGATTGGTAGATACTGAGCAAGCTTGGCTGGGAACTTGAGAGTCAACCTCAGGAGTCTTGAGAGAGTTTCAGAGATTCAGAGATTAGTTTTGTAATAGGTCAGCATCTTCAGGTAACCAATATCTGACGTGCTGCCACCTGTAAAGGTAATTTCAAAAGTTTGTGTTGCTGAAGTTACACTTGGGGATTTTGAGCTAGTATAAACTGAGGAAAATTCATTAGTATCAATGGGATAATTATCCCTGTAAATAAAGTCAAGCCTGGAGCTTCATGTTGAGATGTGGACCTTTGAGCTTTGCAGAGATTGGGAGAAGCCACTCGGTACAAAATTAAATCCGTTAGGATGCATTCAGCCAACTTTTGCACTTCAGTGATATTATTTGGGGGTTTTGCTAATGTTTGGGTTTTTGAGACCACATCTCTCTCTTCCTTCAGGGGTCAAATAGACCACATAGAATACGGAGTAGTCTGAATGTATCTGACAGTTGATCTTGACCATCTATGAATACGTGTATAACGATAGCTTTCGCACCAGGGAGAAGAGATGGATTTTTACAAACTTTGGTTTCTATCATTTGTACACAACTAACCAAGATTCCTTTATTGTAGGAAAGGGCAGAAAATCCCTAAAATTGGTTCCTACAGAAAGAGGGGGAAACAAACAATTATATGGAAAATGAAGAGCGGAAAATGGGGGTTAAAAAAAAAAAGAAAATTCTGATCAGGTTTATTTGGTTTTTGGTAGGTGCAGTTTAATTCAAAGGAAAATGTTAGTTTTGTAAGCTAAAAAAAAGATGTGAAGGCCAGAGTCTGCATGCATTTTCCCATGTCTCCTCTTTTATTTATGGGAAATTTTACATGATATTACAGTGGTCATTGTGGAGTCCTGAGGTTTGCCGCCAAGTGCAGCTACATGGTACTTCTGCTTTGAAAGGAAGGGTGCCGAAGCAATGCTCTGTGCCAGTGTATCTAGATTTGGCAGGTTACATAAACTTGTGCTTAGTTTACTCATCTGTTTAAAAAAAAAAAAAAAAAAAAAAAAAAAGCAAAACCAGAAAAATAGTTCTGGTTTGTGTACAAGGCTCTTAGAGTCTTAGTGTGCAAAAATCACTTTGAAATTCATAGCAGCCCTGTTCAAACCTAAAGCACTGATTTATATAACAGTCCGGTATCTAAATTTCTTTGATTTGCTTTCAGTGCAGTGTATTTTTGGTTCTAGCAACATGCTGTGTACAGTATGACCTGCTTTTTTTTTTCACCCACCTAGTGAAGGGTTCAAGCTGTCTCCAGAGCAAAAAGAGGGTGGAAACTTCCAACTCTTTTCAGTCTACCTTGTGATTCTTTTTGAGGAGAGACACAGAGAATCGTTGCAAGGTCTTTGCATTCTCTTATATGGTGCAAGGGCCTTGTACTGGTGGTCTGCAGCAGCGGGAGCTTTGCTTTCTAGGAAGTGACTTCAGTATAGTCTTGATGCAGGAAGGCACTGAAGCAGGTTTCTAATGCAGAGGGATGTTTTCCCATCACAGATTCCATTTTCTTGTGAATAGCCACTATGAGTACCATGTAAAAATCCTGTAGTGACCATTTTCTGTTTGGTTGGACTTTTCCTGCTTGTTTGGATCTTTATTCTCCTCCTGTTGTGAACTGCCTTTCCTTGTCTTGTACAGTGAAGATGATGTTGCAGCTTTTCCCTCTCTCTCTCTCTTCCCCTTCCCCTTTCCCATCTCCACTGTTCTTCTTTTTTCCCTATGTGTGACCAGACTCAGACGCAGTTGGAGCATGCCCGAATACGGGAGCTCGAGCAGAGCCTGCTGTTTGAGAAGGCACAGGCTGAAAAACTCCTCAGGGAATTAGAGGACACCAGGGTAATCGACCCCCACTTGCCCTGCCTGCAGAAGAGCGTGCTTGCCCCCTGCGTTGATGCTCATGACGCCTTGCTTTGGGTTTCTTTTTTTGGTTGTTTTTTTTTTTTTGCTTTGTGGGGTTGATTGGTTTTGGCTTGAATTTAGGCTTCCCTGATTTTTTTGGTTGTTTTTTGATTTGCTCTCTCCCCTGGAAATGGTAGTACGATATAATTTCTAGCTTCGCTTCTCGTGTGGGGACTTGTTTCTCAGATTGAGTTTGCTTCTCTCTCCCATGCCACCATTTGACACATGAGCTCTTCACAATTTATCTCTCAATTAACATCCCCAAATAATATCTGCACCCTTCACAATTCATTCTGCCTTGTGGCTCCCCCAGGCTCTAATAGAAAATAACATTGCAATCACCATTCCCTTTGTCCTCCCTTCAGCTGTGGGAGCTGCCATCTGAAATGGAAGATACTGGTGAGTGCAGGTGGACCAGCTCTGATCCTTGGCCATGCCAGCAACAGGACAGGCTGCCCAGATGAACAATGCACCTGATCCTAAAAGCAGCCAGATGTGGAAAGGGCTTTTTCATGCTGGTGTGGTGGGGGAAGTGGCAAACCTGCCTACAGTGAGCCTGCGCCTCACGAATGGATTCACTAGAGCTGTAGAAAACACAAATGTGAGGTTCTCCAAAAGGGCTAAATGGTTTGGATGCCCCTGTGCCAATCTAAAATAAAAACCGCCCAGTGTCCTGGGCTGATGGTTAGTGGGGAAAATGGCAATTGAAATTAAATGGAATTGATCGCTCGTGTTTTGGCACTGGAAGATCTGCTTGGTTTCCTTGTTTCTTCTGCCTTTTTCTAATATTTCATCTAGTCAGATCTCTTCTTCCCCATCCATAACTGCAGCACCCTGAACTCCCTGTGGCGAGCAGGTAGTTCAGCCCTGTTAGGTTACATTCAGGTTGTAAGACATTGATCCATAGCCCTTATGCTCAATGTTAACCATGGCCAGATTTATTGTCTTGCATCCTCTAGCCTTCTACATTATTTTTACTTTGCTAATAAACTCTAACAAGTACTCATGTAAAAATCCCTTTTCCTTTTTACACCAGGGTAAACGAATTACAATGCAGAAGGGAGGTCTGTAGGCTGAGGATTGCTGAGCAATAAAGGAAACATGATGTGCTTAATGCTGGTTTCAGTGCTTGTGATATTCCTGCATGTGCAGTCACATTTCCTCTGTGCATCATCTGGCAAGATGCCTAGTCTGGAAATATAATGCCCTTTTCAGGACATTATTTTTCATAAACCACTGTTGCTTTCTAGTGAATTTCAAGGGTTGCTTCCAAGATGTGTGTTTCTCTGTGGAAAATGAGAGGTTCGTATTAGAAAAAAACAAATTGCAATTGGCACAAAGACCTAACTGTTAGAGTTACTGGTGATAGTTACCCTGGTGCAAAACTGTACTCAAACTGGAGGGTGTTGGGTATTCTTTTCCTGTTTATTTGTACTTTGACTAATGTACTTTGGATTTACTTCCACTGGAGCACACTTACTAAAAGGAAGGATGCAACAATGAGAGGTGGGGACTGACTTTGTCTTCTCTGTCGTGTTGCAGTTAACGACGGTAGCAGAGAAATCCAGAATCCTGCAGCTGGAGGAGGAGCTGAGCCTCAGGCGCAGCGAGGTGGATGAGCTTCGGCAGTGCCTCAGGAGCTCCCACCAAGCAGAGACCCCTGAGCATAACCTTGGCTTGCAGTCAGAGGCTCTTCGTCTACGAGATCAGTTGCTGTCTGCCAACAAGGAGCATCAGAAGGAGAGCAGCCAGCTAAAAGAGAAGTATGAGAAGACGTTAAAGAAGTACCAGCAGGAGATGGAGAAGCTGAAAGCTGTCAATGAGAAGTATTCACAGGAAATCGTTGACCTAAAGCATAAAGTTCAGCAAGCCACTAATGAGAACATGGGGCTTATGGACAACTGGAAGTCCAAGTTGGACACATTAGCTTCTGACCACCAGAAGTCTCTGGAGGACCTCAAAGCCACATTGAACACAGGCCCCGACACCCAGCACAAGGAGATTGTGGAACTGAAGGCAGTGGTGGAGAGTATAAAGATGGAGCACCAGCTTGAGTTGGAGAACCTGAAAGCAAAGCACGACATTGAGACGGCTGTTCATATAAAGGAGAAGGAGAGCCTCAAACTGAAGTTGCAGGAGGCTGTGGATGAAGTGGAAAAAAGCAACAGCAACTGGAAAATGCAACTGGAAACCAAAAGCAATCAGCACCTTCTTGAGCTCCAAGATGTGAAGGACAAGTGTCGAGATGCTGAGCTGAGGGTGCACGAACTGGAGAAACTTCATGGTGAATATAAAGATCAGACACAAGCAATAGCTTTCTTGAAAGAGCAGATTTCTTTGGCTGAGAAGATGATGTTGGACTATGAAACACTGCAGAAAACAGAAGCTCAGAGCAAACAGGAGATCCACAGATTGCAGGAAAAAGTGCTTGTCTTAGAGAACAAGCTGCAGTCCATGGAGGCCCTGCATCCTTCTCAGCATGCAAATGTATGACTTCTGGGTCATTCTGCTTGTTTGTTATCACTGTTAGCAACTTTTCCTAGGAGTAGCCCTCAGCCTTACGCAATTTTCTGAGGCTTTTATGCCTCAAAGTTTCAGGATGGTTTTACCTTCCCTTGATAGTGTTTTTTCTGCACTGCATCTCCATGCTGAAGGTGTCTTCCCATTCTTGAAGCCAGTACAGTGGCACAATTAGAAGAAGTAAGAGTCAAGAGAAGCAAGTGGGCCACATCAGGGCTTGAAGGCACATGAATGCTGTGGCAGCATTGTAGTTTGTCAGGCATGGGCAACATTCTTAGCTGAAAAGGCATCATTTCTACAATACAGCTGTTGTCCTCCAAGGAGCTGCAGCAGCCCTAGTGTATTATTGAGCAAGGCCCTTTAGGGGTAGGTGGAGGGCAGGGTGGAAGAGGAGTCATTGCCCATGCTGAGATAGAGCACATGGGTTGCTCAGCACATGGGGCATGGTTTGAGAGAGCTCAGGTAGGGAGCTGAGCTGATGGGATTAGGTGGGAAGTGCATGCCAGCAACATGGCAGAGGCAGTGGGGAGACTTCACAGCATATACAGGAGACACAGGGAAATGTTGACTTTGAGGATTGTAGCGGAAGAGCTGCTGGCAAGGGTCAGGATGGCACCAGGCTAGGGAAGTAAAATGCCTGATTGAATACAAGTCCTGAGCCTCCCAGGGAAGGCTAGAATAAGAGCAGTATTAATACGAAGAGGTAAATTTTCTGTGGCCTTTGTGTCTTTTTAAGTCATCCTCATTTTTTTGACTGTTTGCCACAGGATGCCATCCTACCTTCGTGGCATGGCACAGGGACACATGGCTGGCTTTGCACTAGGGTGGGGGGAGGAGATGGCTGCTCACGGCTCTAGGCTGGACCCCTCTTTGTGTTCAGATTTTGTATGCGAAATGAGCCAAAACCCAACTTAAAACTTGTCCCTGTGGGGATGCAGAAAATGAAAATAAGCCATGAAATGCACACAGTTCAAGAATACTTATTTGAAAACTATCGCTGGTGATGTAGTCACTGTTCCAGACTGAGGTGCCAATGAAGTGAATGCAGTGCCTATGTTTAATTTGCCAACAGGATCAGCCCTACTGAAATCAGTTGCACCTCTAGGCAGTGAAGTCAAGCCCGTGAATTACTGTCGGCCAAGTCAGAGCTTCATGCCTGCAAAAAGGCATGCTGAACTGGACAGGAGAGGCAAAAGCCCAAGGAGGAATCTACAGCATTAATGATGTTTCAGGGGCTGCCTAGCATGTTTCATCTAGTAAAAACAGTCATGAACTATAAGTACAGCCAGGGCCCTGGGAAAAGTGGGTTGTTATTACAACATGTCACATATTATAGCCAATATTCAAACAGGAGTGAATGTAAAAGAAGGAGCTGGAGGCTTGTTCCAGAGCCCTTTAAATAAATGAGAGGGCTCTAGGGGATATTGATACTGAACTAGAACCAGGGAGTCTTGAAATAATTATTTTAACTATGTGTTGCTTAAAATCAGGAAAATGTGGGAAGAAATGCATGGGTGAAAGCTGTGTGGTATCACAGGGCAAATTCTATTTTTAAATGTCTTAGCTAATTTAATGTGGCTCTGTATTAACTATCCAAATATTTTAAACAAACAAATGTGTCTTATGACCATCTTTCCTAGACCATCAAGTGAGAACCACAACTGCGCTTCCAAAGAGCAGTTAAATAGTTTTTCCATACCAAAAGTACATCAGGTGGTGTATTCCCTCTTTGGGTGTGCTCCTGCTTCTGTTCAGGACGTGTCCTGCTGCCTGCTCAAGCTCTCAGAGACTGGCCTCGGGGCTTTCAGCGGTGGTGGCCACAGCAACTGTGTGATCTGGGGCATATGCTGAGGTCCCACCAGAGGCTGCTGGACATGACGAGGCTTGAAGGGCTGAATTGTGGCCTTTGCGATGGAAAGCTTGGCCGTGAGCTCTGCAGTCCTGGCTTTTCATTGCAGTATAGACAAAAGAGGATGGGGAAAAGGCAGAATCCTATGTATGGACCAGCATTTGCTTTTTATTATTTTTATTAATGTATTGTTCTGTAATAGTTATTATTTTATCAGTGTTTTATTACTGTTCTTATAACTTTGGGCACATCTAGCTTCTTCAGAAGTTGAGGAACTTGTTGTCTGATAGGTCTCAAGCTGAATGCTAAAGAGCATTTGCACCTGAATATTTGCTGTGATAAACCACAGGATAACTGGTCCAAAGGAGAGCAGCCCTTCCATCCCTCTGCACAAACTCTGGGTGTGGAAAGTTGGGACCAGAGCTTACGGGGAACTCCTGATCTCTTTTTCCCTCCCGGGTGAAGCTTGCTGTTGTGCTCAGCTGCCTGTTGTGTGGGGTCACACTCAGATGGTACCAGTTAACCTTCAGTAGTACCCAGCTGTAGAAGTGACTCCTCAAGAGCCTTTGTTTCCCTCTCGGGTAGGACGTAGGACATCATAACTTGGGTACCGGATACACTTCTGCTTTGGATGGGGCTTTGCGGTTGTTAACTTTGCTTTGAATCTTTGGGTAAAGGGCGGTTTTACATCTCATACTTTACATTTATTTCAGATGATTGAAACTAACGATATTTCAGAAGAAAAGATAAAGATGAAGCAGACCATGGAAGGTATGAAATTGTATTGTTTTTTCTTGGAAGACCCCATTCTTGTGACTCCTGCCTTCCCTTCCTCTAACTTCCTGCTTTTGCATGGATGGCTGCATGGAAGGGGCTTAGGAAGCCATTCCATCTCTCAGATTTTGCTGGATGGCGTTTGTTGTCTTGTTTTTTCTTTTTCCTCTAATTTGACTGAGCATATGCAGGGGTGGATGTTTTTACTCGTGTTACATACTCACCATGCAGATGGTGCAGGTTGGAGACTGATCTGGGGAAATGGGCACACATCCATCCCATCACTGATCTTTAGAGCAGGTAAAATCCAGCCATTAAATGTAATTTGCTCGTAAGAGAGGACTGCTAATGGTAGATATTAACGCAACTGGCTTAAAATAACGGGGGTTGTTTTTTATTTAGCTTACTATAAATCAAATCCATCCTTTTAGCAAAACGTAGAATTTATGCAATCAGAAAAGTTGTATAAAGTAGCTTTGAAACTGAATTGCACTCGGCCTCCCTCACAAAGAGGGTAAGCTGTAACCCCAAGTCTGAGCAACAGCAGACCTGGCAAGATGAGAGCTGGGTGGCCCAGGCAGTCTCTGTTGGGAGCAATGTCCTACCACATTGCTGTGTATGACATGTGCTTTTGGGTGTCTGTGAAGGGTTTGGGGCTGTTCCAAGACACGTAAGCTGCTTCCAGATCACATCTTCCCTTGCGCATTCCCAGGAGACTCTCATTTCTTCATTCTTCCTTAGGGTGGGTTTTTTTTTTTAGCAGAAAACTTTATCAGTGTAGTTCACAAAGGTGATCTCTAAAGAACTAACTTGTCACTTCTCTTTTCAAATGGCATTAGGCTTTTTCTCATTTATTCACCTCTAAGGAGTCTGTTCTCTGCAAAGCCCTTGTTAAAGTCCAGCTGAGGACATAGCAATCGAAACAGAGATTACTGGGGACTTCTGCAGGCTTAAACTTCAGTTAATAGAAACTGTGTTTAGTTTGAGTTCCCTCCAGCTGTCTGTAGATTCAGACAGAGGTATTTTGTCCTATTTCCATCTGCTCTCGGTGCTAACTAGGCGCTGTCAGTCAGCCTCATCGCTGTCTTTGCAGGTACAGGGTTACATATATGCTATACCACATTGTATGCTGATTGACAGGTAATTCCTGCCTAATGAGGGCAGAACATAACTAGGTCCGGCAGCCGCTGCTCTTAGAACGGCCACTCAGTCCATGTGCATGTTGTTTCCACACTAAATAAGCCATATATTGGATGTACTAAACCCCACCAGTTCAGACTTAAGCTACAAAAGCAACATACTTCAAATCTACCACTCTGAGTGTGAAAATGCATCGGTTCCAGAAAACATGTCTTTTAAAACTGTCTCTGCCTTCTAGTGTAGGAGGTAACAGGAAGAAATGTGCTGAAAGTTCCTTTTTGTGTTGTTTTTTTTTTTTTAATGTTTTAATTCTCTTACCCCCCCGCCTTGTGGTTGCTTTCTTAAACCTGTCCGATGTGGCTTCGCAGCTGTGTATCCTGCCTCTTAATACTTGGATGGTGGGAAGATGCAGTGAGAAACACCCACTTTCTGTCTCCTGCCACTTCTCTGCCAATGGAGGGTACCACCACCATGCCCCCGTCGCACCCCGGCCCGTGCTGTACACTCAGTACCTTCCCAATGTCTTGTCTTTTCATTCTCCCACAGACCTCCAAGACAAGCTGAGTAAAAGAGACAAAGAGATGTCATCACTGGTGTCCCAGACTGAAACTCTAAGGGCCCAAGTAAGTGGTAAGTTTCCCTAATCCAGTGCTGGTAGGAACTATGTGTTTCCCTGCACATCCTCTCTACTGGTGTTAAACAAGGGCCCAGGTGCTGAAAGGGGCAGGTATAAAACATGACATTGCATGTCTGCTAGTGGATATTGTTGGTAAAAATTTGTTCAGGAGTTCTGGCCTCTTTTCAGGAGGTGAATACAAACCTTGCAGAAGATATTTGTAGCCTGTGAGAAGGGGTTTTGGGGCTTATTGAATGTCAAAAGGTGGAAGAGGCAGAAATAAATGGAGCTGGTCATGTTGTTTCCCAGATCTCCCCTTAAATAGATCTAGACCTAGAGCTGATCAGACCTGTGCTGTTAGGAGTGGGAACTGGGAAAAAGCAAAAAGTGGGAATGTAAGTAAAGGACTAAGTAACCTTTCTTCCCCTGTATCCTCTGCTTCTCATAGCTTTGGAAAATAAATGCAAAATGGCAGAAAAGAAGGCTGATTCGGTGTTAAAAGAAAAGAAGAGGCTGGAAGGTGAACTGGAAGCCTTGACCAAGAAAACACACGATGCTTCAGGGCAACTGGTCCTGATTAGCCAGGAGCTACTCAAGAAGGAAAGGTCAGCCTGAAGGACGGAGCTAGAGACAGGGAGCTGTGTGTTCATGTTCACTCAGAGTACTGTAATTTACCACCAAAAGAAATCTAAAGGCTGAATTGTTGAAGTCCACTCCCCAGCTTTCGTGTTGTTTACAGATGCTCATGTGGGAGTTTGGTTAAAATTATGGGCTATCAATTATCAAAGGGACTGCCCTTTCACTGCTTGCCAGGAGCTGCAAACAGCTCAGTGCCCATGAAGGTGCTGATGAAGTCATCTACAAGCCAGCTAAGCTGGCTGCTGCCCTGCTCTGAAACACGGTCCCCAGTGTGGATCCCAGTCTCTTTACTGCTGTTGCCGTGGGGAGGACAGGAGATCTGAAGCCCCCGAAGTGGAGGGAGTTGGGTCAGGTTTGCTCGCTGGCCTTTCTTTGGGCCTGTAACAAAGGCAGGAGGGAGCGTGGCAGGACTGCAGTGGCATCTGGGCTCTAGAAATGTCTTCACCTTTATGTGCTTCTTTCAGGAGCCTGAATGAGCTGAGAGTGTTGTTACTGGAGGCAAACCGGCACTCGCCTGGGCCAGAGCGGGACCTGAGCCGCGAGGTGCACAAAGCTGAGTGGCGGCTGAAGGAACAGAAGCTCAAAGATGACATCAAGGGGCTGCGAGAGAAACTGGTTGTGCTGGTGAGGGCACCAAAACCCCTCCTGACCTTGATCTGGGGGCTGGAGGGCTCTGTGCAGCTCAGGGCAGGGGGTTCTAGCCCTTTGCCTTTACTCCAAGTCTCCATGCTTTCTTTTGTGCTACGGAGCGTTTGGGAACTTCCTTGACAGTGCCTGTGAGCTATGGCCTGACTTAGCAGCACCTCATTAAGCAGCAAAAATGTCCATCTGTCCTTCTCCAGCGTTTTCCTGTTCCCACTGGTTTTAGATCCATGGCTAAATATGGCTAAAATTGAAACTGAAGGTTGGTCAGCTACCCCACATTGTTTTCCACATTCCCTGATCTAGGAATAAGCAATGTCCTCTAATTCCTGTGTCCTCCAGTGGTTGAAATGTGAATAATTTATTTAAATTCTGCTGGGAACAAGTTGGAGCTGCCGCTGGTTGCATTTGATATTTTGCCTTCAGAGTTGTGCTCTGACTCCATCTACTGTTGAAATCAGAACATGGTTGTAGGAGTTACTGTGGATTTCTACTTTGCTTAGTTTCTGCAGTTATTGGTTTTAATCTAACATGCTCCTATTTTCCCTTTGCTATATAAGGACAAGGAAAAATCTGTAACGGATCAGCGGCGATACTCCCTGATCGACCCCTCATCGGAGTCAGAAGTGATCCGGCTGCAGCACCGGCTCGTCAGCACGGAGGATGTGCTGCGCAATGCGCTGGAGCAGGGCCACCAGATGGAGAAGCTCATGGAAGCAATGAGGCTGTCCTCTGAGAAAACACAGGTAGAACATCAGCAATCATTTCCCGGGTCGCTCAGCCCTCAGCAGTCATTTCTCGTGAAATCTCCTGGGATCTTGCCTTGTGATGTGGGAGTGATGCAGTCAGCTGGGCCCCTTTCCCTCTGCTGCAAACAGCCTGGCAAGACTTTGTTCTGTCAGATGTAGCTTAAAACTAAGAAAAGCCTTGCTAATTGGTAATTATGGATTCTTTCGTGCTCTGCAAGAACGGTTGCTAAATGCGGTGTTTTGGGGAAGGCTGCAGCGTGAGTAACTGTTCTTTATGTGTACAGTGACATGTGCATATCCTTGCAGTACAGGCACTTTGTAATATGGAAGTTGAGGGTTTCTGCCATCCCTGTTCTTTGAGAGGTTTATTTCCTTGCGGTCCATAAGCAGAAACTTTGGAGATGACTGGGAAAACGTTTTCCATTTCTGTAACCAGTTCCTGGAGGCATCTCTGTGTCTGATCTGGGTTTGCCGATGGACCATGAATGTTCCCATTCCAGCTGCTATCTTATCTTTCCAACTTTCTCTGGTCTCTCCTTGTTTCTTCTGGCAAAAGCAAAAGTGCCTCTGTTGTTTGTATTGCATCCTTCTTTGTGAAATTGAAGGCTGCAAATAACTTGACTCTCGGTGTTTGGTTTTTTGTGTCTCGTACCTGTGGTGTCTAAGCCCTGACTGATTCCTCCTGTGAAGTGACCTGCCCCTTGTGCCAAGCTTTGTGCTTCACATCCTTTTTTACTCTTCTAGCTGTGTTTTCTCTTGTGTCTTCAACCAGGTCATCGTTTTCAGAGCCCAGATGCACCAGTGCTCCTCTTGTACTTGCTCCTTTAAATTCTTAGCTGAAAATGTCTTTCTCTTGCAGTAATGAGCTACAATTCACATCCAGGCAGATACCTTAGGATAGTACAGAGTGAGCCACTAGGCCTGGAGAATGAGCAGAGAGCTCGTTTTCCCAGATGCAGGTGCAGATAGGTTGTGGTAGGTAATCTGGGGGTATCAAGACTTCTCCTCCTCCCATGACGCTTTCTTCTGCACGGTTTGCAGATACACCAAATGGCTGTTTGCATTGCAGTGGTATTTGCAGGGAGGCAGTCAGGAGGAGGGTGCAACGGTAAAAATTGCAGCCCCGAAAGCTCTGCTAGCTCAGCTGAGCATCTGTGTGTTGCAGACAAGACTCTCCATATCCTGCAGTGCAGTGGCAGCAGCCATCTGCCAGCACCAGACAGGACAGCTGTACTCGTGATGACAAGTTTGTGGCAGTCCGAGATGCACTCTAATCCTGTCAGTACCTCCAGAGTGACTTTAGCTCCTGCTGTAATTGCTATGTGTCAAATGAAAATGCATCACGACAACCTCATCTGCTGGAAGCTATGGCAGGGGTGGGGAAAGTTATTCTCTGCTTTAATGCTAAGTCCCTTGAGAAAAGGAAATCTTCCCTTTCGCATTCCTGTCTCCAGAGGTGGTGTAGGTGGTAATTATTTCTTCCCCAAGTGTAGAAAATAACTAATCTTACATAAAGTGAGTTGGAATGGACCTTATGAGGTCAGCTAATCTATCCCTGGCATTACTTTGATACTTTCATGCTTAAGAAATCCTAGAGATATAACAAGATAGTATTATGCCTTCAACTACAAACCATAGTACTAAGGGACAGACGGAGGATTATTGTGGGAAGCTAGGCTTCAAACTTCTATTGATGTCAGATTTTTAAAGTGCCTTGTTACAAAGAAGTCTGAATCGAAGCTCCCTAGTTTCGGTACGATCTCTGTTCATCCTTCCCCTTATGAAGGGGAGTTGTTAACTAGGGGCTTTCAGGCTGAGTCTGAGGACATTGCTGGCCTAAAGAGATCCTGGTGCAATAGTTAGGGAATTGATAATTCTTTCCCAGAAGCCACCTTTCCGCTGTGACCCATTCCGCGCTACCTTCTGACCTCCCGTCTCCGCTCCGACAGCAGTAGCTGTTGCCCCGGGTCTGCCTTGGCATCGCTCTCCCTTTGTCTGCAGAGCCTTCGCTTCGCAGCACGCTCGAGAAGGAAATCTCTAATTACCACAAGCTGCTGCTGCTCTCCTTTCGCAGGCTTAGTCAGCCGCCATGCTCCGCAGTCCTTGATGTGCATGGCTGGCCTGGCTGTTACACAAGGAGGTGCAGGAGCTGGGGGAGCATAATGGCACTGTGTCTTCATCTCGTTGTTGAGTAATTGCTGCCTTGCTGTTTCCGTGCCTGCAGCTGCGAAGTATTTGTCTTGTAATCGAGAAAGAGGATCTTTGCCTTCTCCATGTCTTGGGAGACCCTGATCTCACAGCTTTGCAGGAAATGACAAGGATTTGGCACTCGGGCCTTTTCTTGGAGAATTTGCAGTGATTGCTCTGGGAGCTTTTTTATTTAATTTCAAGCGAATTGCACCACTTTGTTCGTTATCATGACCATGTACAGAGACCACGTTTCAAACCTAGTTCCTGGTATCTGATAGCTGCTTAGTGCACAGATCAGATGTGCTGCAGGTAGGATATATTGCCTTATGCAAGGCCTGAATAGCTGCTTGTCGTCGTGGGTGCAGACCCAAAGCTGAGCCACTATGGCGGCACTATTCTGGCCATCCATCCAGGTAGGATTCACTGCCTGGCAAACAGAACCTCTGTCCCGCAGGGCTGAGTATGCACCTTCATGGTCACGGTAAGAATGGAAGCTGGGTAGCTGGGACTCCTCTAATGATGGGTTTTAAACCTCGCAGTCTTGTCTCCCCATAGTGTCTGGTTTTGCTGCCATCAGCAGTTCACCAACAACTGTGAATCTGATTACCAAGACCCAAGCAGCTGACATCTGGCATGCCGTGACTTCAGGCTGCAGCTCTCTGTTCTTGTTTGTGCCAGTTGTACTGTCATTTTGAAGCTGAAGGGCTCCGTATTATCCCTGCTAAAGAAACATTATAAATGTTTAAAAGTTCTTGTGCTTTATAAAGATAGAACAGTCTGTCCTGGCTGCCAGACTTGTCCCCAGAGATGGGAAATGGGGAATGGCAAATGTCCTTTTCGCTGCTGGGATGTTCACCATGACATGCTTTGCAGCTAACGCTGCCCTGGGCTGAGGGTTTGTTTATCGGGATTTAAGAGTCGGAAGTGAAGAGTGAGTCTGTGTCTGTGAAGAACTCAGGGGTTGTTTTGTAGCTGGGAAGGATGCAATCCGTCACTGGGGATTGGGCCAGGGTGCAGAGGGCCCTTTTGGCTTCTTGCCAAAACTGGGGTGGGATTTTTGTGTTCTCCTTTCCTTGTGTGGAGTGGGCTGCTAAGGATGGCAGTCTTGCCAGATCTCAATGCTAGTAGGCAAAACCACAAGGCTCTGCGTCCCTCTTCAGTAAGTACTGTCCATTCTCCATTGCAGACTGTTGGAAATTCTGGGTCTGCGAACGGGATTCACCAGCAGGATAAATCCCACAAGCAAGAGGTAAGTTAAAACCAGAATGTTATTTAAAACAGTGGCTGCTTCATGTGGTTTCTTGCCTGCTGTGCTGGGGACAGCTCTTGGACAGAGGCAGTTCTGCCAGCAAAGCTTGACTGTCTCATCGCCACAGTGAAAGCAAGGGGCTTTGCACAACTCCAGTTCCCAAGCATGGTGGGAACCTCACCTTAACATTAAAACCACTTGAAGCCATTGGGAAGGTGCTAGTGAGATGCACACTGAGGTGCAATGGGTGCTTACTCTGGGAGAAGCAGCGGGGAGGGAGCTTCCCTTCAGACTCCTGGGTCAGTGCCTGTATGGCACTTCTCCTGGCATACCAGCCAGAACCTGCTCGGTCTCAGGTCTCTGCTGTCCCCTTGACCTGCGTGTCATTTCTGGGACGTGCTGTCCTGGTCTCCCACAGTTTTCACAATGTAGAGCAAGATCTGTAGCCTCAGACTTGATTTCCTTACAGGCAGGATGGCCAGCCTGAGGAAGAGGCAGTGTGGCTTACTGGGCAGAGCAGTGGGTCAGGACACGGCAGGCCTGTTGGCATCCCACTCATGCCTCAGTTTCCTCTTCTGTAAAAAGACCTCTGTGTTTGCCCTCATTTTGCCTAACAAGGTCTCTTGTCTTCCAGGAGAAGCTCTGATAGAGAAGAGGTGAAGAGGATCATTTCATGCCAGTATCAGCTCCTGTGCACAGTCAGGAAAAGCGATACCCCATCTGGCTTTAGCACACCTCCAAAAGACTAGACACAGTATTTTTACTTCAAAGCAGGACAATGTTTATAATACACTAACTGATGTAATCAGGACAATCCTGGAGTCCAGTTTTCCAAGGCAGCCATTGTTCCAGGAGGGAGTGGAAAGATCTCTCTGGGTTTGGTTTTCTTACCTGTATTGGTTTTGACTGTGGAATTTGTATTGCTTGAGCTGCCCTTGTCCCACCAGCCGATGTGGTCTGGATGACAGCTGCCCTGAACGGTGGCTGGGGTGTCAGCGAGTCCCAGTAACCCCACAGGAACTGCAAAGGGATTTGCATGTGGGCTACAACTCCAAAGCACGTGCCCAGAGGCTGCACACTTCCCACGTGGTCTGTCCCTTCCCTTCTACCTGCCCTAGTGTCCTGGAGACCCGCACAAGCGCGTGAAACCTGCTGGGCTGACTGTTCACTCTGGCATGCGTAAGCTGAGGAAGATGGGGTGTGGGGACATGTCTCCCTCCTCACCTTGTAGAAGACATCGCTGTTCTAGAGCGCAGAGGCTGCACTTAGTGCTTGTATCGTAGCATGTCATGGGAAGTAATCCGATTTTGGAGGGGTATTTATTTCATTTCTCACCCACTGCTGTTTGGGGAAGGAGCTGTGGTGGCTCTGAGTTTGGGGACCGGCACACCTCGCTCAGGTGTGGTTGGCCTTTCTTCCTGCAGAGAGATCGCCGAGCAGGCCTGCTGATGCCCTGGGCCACTGCCAGGCTGCCCAGCCTGGCCCCCCTCACTCATACGTGTTTATTGGGTCTTTTTTGAGCACAGGACTCCACAGATGGCTGGATCTCAGCATCGCTGGCTGGATCTCAGCATCGCTGGCCTGAGAGCTCCATGCTGGCTGCAGTCAGTGTGGGACGGATGCCTTGAGGAAGTGGTTGCCTCCTTGCCCATTCGGTTTAACAGCTAGTCAGGGGTTGCCCGGCCATTCTCCAGAGCTGTCCTTGGCTCTTCAGTGTGATGCCCATCCCCTGGGACCGGGAATGGAGGAGGCGAAGGTGCTGCTGTGAGCCTTCAGGCAATAGTGGCTGGCTGTATTTGATGGGTACAGCAATCCTCTGTGCATGACCCGAGTACAAGCATTTGGAGCAGAAGGAATCCAAGGCTGGAGCCCACACAGCTCCTGTGTCCGTACACAGCAGTGCAGGCCTGGGCAAGGGTCTTGTTCTTCTGAAGGCTTTACTCTTCCAACTTTGCACCACAGCTCCCAAGGGACATTAGGGTGGAGGAAGGGGACAATATGCTCTTAAAGGTGTGAGAGTCCAGTTCAGATTCACTGTTCAGTACCACAGGGGACAGTCACAGCAATATTGTACCAGGCTTCCCCAGCTAGTGCCCAACTCCTCCAGTCTTCAGAAGCTCTTGCGTTACGATGGGGCATCTGTGAAAGAGGACAAGACAGGAGAGACCACTGAGAGAGGAGATCTGAGCCAGGCCACAGGCAGATGAACATCATGGCATCATGCTTTTTGTCCTGATTCCCTACAAAGCTGTGTTACTTTTTCTTAGTGGGTTGCTGGATTCCCCTTTCCTTGAAGGATGGGCGGCCAGAAGCAACCTGGGAAAGACTTTGGCCTCAGGGCTGCAGTTATGCCATGAGGAGGATGTTGCTGAATCTGGGCTATGATACAACACTGGACTCTGCTCACTTGATGCAGGATTGGTGATCTCCCTCCATTCAAAGGGAGGATGAGAGAGGAAGGCGACTTCAGGGGAGTAAAGCTTACAGAAAACACAGCTTAAATCTGGTGCACGGCAGGGGGAGGCAGAGCTTGAGTACTAATTGCCTGGAAATGAATCAAGCAGGATCCCATCCTGCCTTGTAGAAGCGTGTCATCAGCTCAGTAATCACTAGGAAGATTGCCACATCTCGGTCTAGCTCTGGGACTTTCCTAAGGGATCAGAGGGGGGGTCTCCAAAATCCTGCTGGTTGGTGTATTCATCTCCTAAGCGATTTGGGAAAATCCCAGAGGGAGTGTTTGTTGTTACAGTCTGAGACAGTAAGTACCTCACTGGGAGCTGCTGGTTTTAGGAGTTTAGGGCTGGTGTTCCCCAAAGTGCTCGTGCTGGCTGGGTGGTCTCGGGCCACTGCCGCGGCTCCTGCTGGCCTGAGCGGAGCTAACATAGAGCGCTTGCCTGTCCCCAAACCCAGTGCTTCCCAGGCACCTGTGGGTGGCAGAGTCCATTCTGGTTTGCAGCTTATTTTCCTTGATAGGTCTTCTAGTGACTTGTGGCCAGCTGCCTTCATCTACAGAGGGAATGCACCTGCATTTTCCACCTCCCTTGCTGAACCTCTGGTTCTGCACAGGGCAGGATCCCCCCAGGAGTGGTTATGGGGACCATGTATTTGGCTCTGTTAGAGATCCAAAGTTGTCAGGGTGGCAGTGGTTCAGGCTGGAGGAGTCTCTGGCTGCTGTCTCCTTCCAGGGACCATCCCGGTGAGCAGCTCAGGCCCCTGGCTCTTCCTGGTTGGCTTGGGTGAGAATGAGCAGGTTTAACATTAGTACTGATAGCCCTCTTGGGCTGTAAATAACTGTGCTGGTCCCTAAGGATCAGCCAGGAGCTGACAGAGCTGCTTGGCTTTGTGGAGGCTGTGCAGTCTTTGTGTTGCAGGGCTGTACTGAAACAGGCAGCGGGGCGAAGCCACGTCCCCTGTGTCCCCACCCCAGACCCTGACTGTGGTGTCAGCAGGCCATGTTAATCACATGCGTCATCTGGGTTTCAGCTCAACCCTGTAAACTGGCCAGGAGGGGGTTTGGGCGCCAGCCGTGCCCTCCCTCTCCAAAATTGGCATAGGCTTCCCGAGGGCACCTGCCCCTCTGAGGTTGTAAGAGACCAAACTAGGGACAAACTTGGAAAGGACGAGGAGGAGATTCCCCAGCCCCTCTATTTATTTGTAAGTTTAATTGCTATTTTTGCCTATGTGGTGGTGTATAAAGTACTTCACAATATTTGGTCTTACTGGCTTGGTTCTTTGGGGGAGATTTTCAAAGGCACTGGAGCAGCGATGCACCCATCGCCTGTTGTCAGTCAGGGACCGGTTCCTGTTTGTACCTTCACTCCCTCTTTGGCTTCAGCCTTGCTCGTCTCGATCCTCAAGAGCTGGTGCAGGGGGGCTGTGTCCTCCCCAGCCCTGCTCCTGGCTTGTGTGTGCCATGCTGGTTTTGTGTCTGGGGCTGGGTCCGGAGCGTGCCTTGGAGCACCGCTGCAGGATGGGGAGTGAGAGGTAGCCACACATTTTTTTTCTGAAGCCCTCAGCACCGGGGGCAGGACCGGCACCCTGGCTGTGAGACCACCCCTCACGGCCGGCTGCTTTTCTGCTGAAGGCTGAGGTGTCACCTGGTGAAAAAAAAGTCTTTGAAATGGAGACTGTTCCATGTTCAGCGGTTTCTTCTCTAACCCTCTAGACCAAAGGGAAAAGAATCTGGCTTGATGATTTCAGCTTTATCCCTTCTACAGCAGCCAGAGAGCGGAGCGAGGGGCGGCGCCGGGCCGCTGCCGTGCCGAAGTTGCCAGCCAAGGCTTTACAGCTCTTGCCTACCCCCAGCCACCAGCGGTTCCTCTGGCTTGCGGTAGAGATGCATGAGGGTTTCATTAAAACAAAATGATGCAAATGACACTGTAAAAGTCTTAACAAAAATTCCAGTACTCCGTTGTTCGGCAGCTTTAGCAGCTCAACGCTATCTTGTAGGGAGTGATTAATACACTAAGTTCCTATAGGCCTCATGTAAGCTACCAGAATAAAGATGATACTAGATGTATAAATGGATGATAACCTTTTACCCGTACAGTATGTATTACAATTTTGTAGCTTAGTCATTTTTTGGCTATCAGATTTTGTTAGTATGATATAAAAAAAAAAAAAAGTCAAAAAAAAAGTTCGACTGCTAATGTCTATTTTGTTATTTGATTCATTTTATTTCTTCCTCTGTACAAAAGCTGTACAAATCTCAGTCTGTGTAACTACTACAGCTATGTATTCATGTACCATCCACCCCTGTCCTGGCTTGCTGGTGTGGTGAGCTTGTTACTAAACAATAAAATCTGTGGCTGAAGTCGGGCACCCCGGGGCTGCTGGGGGCGTCTTACGGTTGTTCTGCAGCGCAGAAATGGCTGGGGGACAAGGCGGGGTTTTCCCTCTGCAACTCAAATGTGGGGCTTGGGCAAGTCCCTCCTGCCCTGAGCCCAAGCAGTGACCTGGAGCCATCAGCATTTGGGCTCGGCAGAGCAGGGTTTGCGAACAGCCGGGAGGCTGCGGACCTGCCCTGGGGGAGGAGAGGCACCCAGAGCCCCATGCAGCATTTGCTCTCCTGCAGGCTGTGCTGGAGGCCAGGACAGCCGGCTCCTTCCCGGGGTGACTCCCAGCCCCCTGCTTTTGGGCATCTCCTGAGCCACGGGGTGATGGTGCCATTTATGAATCCATCGTTATCTTCCCTCTCCCTCCAGTCCTTCCCTGATGCAGCCACGATGCCCTGAGGTGAGGAGTGCCATGGCGTGCACCCACCTCACCTCCTGACGGGCACCTACTCCTTTGAGGGGGTCCAGCTTGGTTTTGCAGGGGCAGAGATGGTGGCTGGGTCATCCTCATCCCTTCCAGCTCACTGGAGACCCTTGGTGCATGGGGAATGGAGATTGCTGTGGATCGGTCCTGGGGAGGAGCTGCAGCTGCTGCTGGGGTTGGTGCAGGTCTGGGTGAGCCATGCTGCTCCCCAGCCCGGCCTCCTGCCCCTCTTCCCCCATCTTCCCGCCACGTGCCCCTCTGGATGCTCGTGGGGTCACACTCTCCCCTGTGGAGCAGGACCAGAGGAATTTACTCTGGGGCTCAGTGCTTTTTTCATGGCACGGTATCTCTCAGTTAGGAATTTCCATGACTGCCCATGCCTGTGCCCCAGCTCAGCAGCACCCTGTATGGCAATGAAACATCCCTCTCTCCTGCTGTTTTCCTGCACCCGTGAGCTGTAGATCCTTTACAGAAAGGCAGGGGTTTCCCAGTGTTGCCAGCTGTCTTAAGATCCAGGAAAAAACTGGGATGCTTTTTCCCTTGTTTCCTGGCTTCTTTTCCTGGACTTAAGCCAAAGTTCGCCACTACCAGGATTACCTGAAAGTTTTAACCTGTTTCCAAATAGCTGGTGAGGTTTGCAGGTGATGGGTTGATTCCAGAGCAAATGACAGGCGCCTGACAGCACTGCCATGAGAGCTGCCCATGCAGCCTTGCTCCAGAGCTGCCCTGGGGTCTGTACAGGGTGGTCTGTGCTATCCTGCTGGTTTATTTTTTCAAGGTGCGTAAGGGTTGCTGACAAAACCAAGTAACTTTTCTGTTTCTTCACCAGCTCCCTGGCCCTGTGCACTGCAGGTCTCAGGGTCTCCTAAAATAGCCGGGCAAGACCAGCAGGTCCCTGGGTCACTGCATTGCTTATTTCTAGAGCGGGTGCTGATGGCATCTGCAGCTGCCACGTGCTTCAGTGTCCTCCAGGGGCTGGAAGGAGAATAATTTATTTGAACTTTGCTTGGGAGAAATCTCCGGACACAGGAAGGTCCATCTGGGCTCAGCCCAGCATTGGTGCTGGGAAAGGAGCTGACGATGTCATTATTTTCCCTGCCCTTTGCTGCCGAAGGCTGCTGCTCACTCACCCCAGGCCCCGTGATGCAGCAGCCGGGTAGCGCTGGCGCTGGGGTCCTCTCCAGCCGGGCAGCTCTGCCCTGGGGACCTGGGCAGTGGCTCCCATCTGTGACCCCGCTCTCACAGCTCGGTCCCAGCCCCCAAAAGCTGCTTCAAGGTGGTTTGTGACCCTCTGCTCCATCAGTCCCACCTTGGCTGCCAGTGAGGGGATGGCTGCTCCAGCTGTGGCTGTCATGCTGTCCCTGTGCTGGCAGCAAGGCCAGCAGGAAAGTCCCCTTCTGCAGCCAGCACTCCTGGAGGGAGATGCACCCAGGAAGGATGGGTTTTTGGGGGTAGGAGGCTCTCCCCAGAAGAGCTGGCAGAAAGCAGCAAGTTTTCTATCGTGCCAGCCCTTCCCTCGGCTCTGGACAGGGGTGAGCTGCCCGGGGCAGGAGGCAAAGGCCACGAGCACCACGTGGGAAGGTGTCTTCAGCTCCATCTTTTATATAGTTCCACTACACAATTCATCAACGTGCATATTTACAATCAAGCGCCTGAGCCCTGGTATCACCTAGAGATAACACTGTGGTGCATGCCTTTGTTTGCAGACATCACATTTCAGTGCCGTTAATCGTACGGTGAGGATTAATAAAACATGAAGTTTAAAGATGCCCAAATCACAGTGGGGGAGCTGGTAATCTCTGCCAACAATAATATTTGCACTTTATTTTTGTCCTAGCATCGAGCCAAGGAGCAGAGCCTGGGCCGGGGAGCAGTACCGCTGCATGCAAGTGGACGGGGTGGGGGTGGCACAGGGTGCCCAACCTGCTCCTTGGGCAACATGGGTGGCCCAGAAGAGGCAATGGGTGGGACGTCCTTCCTCATCCATGGTTGGGACCTCATCCCCCTGGGGTGCTGTGCTCATGCCCACAGCTGGGCGGCTGCTTGGGGATGGGTTTAATCCAGGGATGAGCTAAGGCTGAGACATGACGTGACCTCTCTGCGTGGGGGACATGTGCAGAGGGGACATCTCTGCAAGGATGTGGCCACCCTCCTCTAACTGTGCATCCTGTGGCCATCCGTGGTCCATGCTCCCCCAGGACCCACCACCCAAGGGCATGTCCCTTTGGGATGTCCTCTCTGGAGAGGGTGGATGTACCAGGTCTCTGCTTGGTGCTGGGTGACGTGTGGGCCACCAAAAGTGCAATTCTGCTTTTGCAGGGGCTGCCTGTGTCCCCTCCCGGCTGCAGCCCCAGCATCAGCGAGCCCAGCACGAAGTGGCCTGGCAGCCCCTGGTGCCAAAATCAGGGCTGGGAACGCCCTGCTTCCCTGGCAAGGGTGTTTCCCCCCCTCCTCCCCGCCCTGGTCTCTTTGCTGCCTAACAAGCATCCTTGTCAAAATAGCTAATTTCCTTCCAGAACAAAAAGTCACCTGAATGCATTTGGAAGCTGTATTGCACTATCGGGGTAATCAGAATTTAATTTGATGCAGTCAAGGCTCTAAAAAGATGTTATCAAGGGGAACATCAAAGCTGGATTCCTGCGCTTGGAAATGCAACTGGAATGCTTAGTCCAGATTTTTCATTTTATCGGAGACTTTCAAAATATCAGTCTAAATAACAAAAAAATGAATATTAAGAGTATTTGCAAATTAATGTCTTTTGTAGCTGAACAAAGGCCACTGTCTAACCTACTTTTGCATGTCTGGGACAGTCTCTTATTAAATCCTAATTATACAATTTTGTTGTGTCTAATCATTTCTGCACTTGCAGGAATTAAAACTGAAGCTCATTTCCCCATTTAGTTGTACCACACTGCTCTTCAGGGGCCCGATCCTGCAAAGTCAGGCTCCAGACAGGGGGATCCCAGGGGTACAGAGATGGGGGGAAGGTGGGCTGGGAACCCAGGCTTGTTCCTTCTCTCCTGTGCCCGTGTTACAGCCTCAGGGCTCTGCATCCTTCCCAGCTCTCGGGATAGCTGGGGAAAAGCTCCAGCTCTTGCTGGTGAATGTGAGTGCGCGACAATTTCAGGTTTTATTTTTAAAGTGCAATTTCAGAAGGAAGAAAGACAGCTCCAGCCCTTTTGGGTGTCGTGAAGATTGGAAATGTGACCAAAATGCACCCTGGAGGTGGGGTGCTCCTTTTTGGGGAGGTTTTGTTCGACCTGGGGGGCCACGGCTGTGTTGGAACGGCAGCCGGTGCTGGGGCCAGGGATGGCGGAGCAGTGGCCTTGACATCGCACGCCACAATTTCTGTGCCAAGCTCAGGCTGTTTTGTTGCCGGCACGGGCCGAGCTGGCCGGGGCGGTGGGTGACGGCACGGCAGCCCCTGCCTTCGCCCCAGCCATCGGCCCTCTCTCTTCCCTCAGCTCCCATTTCTGCAGAGCCCGAGCCCAAATGCCCGCATCCCCCCATGCAGGGGACACAGGGGACAGACCTGTCCCTGGCTTTAGCCCTCAGAAACGTCGCAGGGGGGCTTTGGGGGAAAGGAGGTTCAGTCAACTTCGTTAGGGAAATAGCATGGAATCTGTGTTCAAACCTTTGAAGTGTTAATTAAAAAGAATTATGCAAAGGAGCAAGGATTTGAAACATTCATTTGAATCTCAATAAGGCATCTGTATTAAAAATAGCAGCGGGATCAACGAAAGATACAGCAGGTTTGGAGCAAAATGGTCCCCGTGTCCCCGCCGCTGTTGGGCAGCGGGTTTCTGCCCATTCCCTACCCCGAACAGGCGCTGCAGAGCGTGGCACAGCACGAGCTTGGGAAAACACTTCTTGCCTAATATTTAAAGATCTTGAAAGCATCTTGTTTAAAAAAAGACCCTGTGGGGTCCGGCACGGGCTTAGCTGCAGTGCATGGGGAAGGAGAGCGGGACGCACAGGCTGGTGGGGTGGGTGCAGCACTGGGACCACCCCAAGGCACCCGATATGGGGCACAAGGCCCCCCTAGAGACCAAAACACCCCCAACCCCAGCGTGGCCCCTTCCAGGGGAGACTGAGGGGACGCGCCTCACCAGCAGGGCCCTTCATTAAAACCCCCGGCATGTCCTGGCCCTCACTCATTCCAATAAAAAGCATCCAGGGTATTAATTACCAGATCAGCAGATAACGTTGTTA